ACAGGTGCAGCTACCAGTGTCACTGTCTGTTGTTGATGCAGATCATTCACATATATAATCTATTACAGGCAGCTGCCCAGCAGGTAGATACGGCTACAGGTGCAGCTACCAGTGTCACTGTCTGTTGTTGATGCAGATCATTCACATATATAATCTATTACAGGCAGCTGCCCAGCAGGTAGATACGGCTACAGGTGCAGCTACCAGTGTCTCCTGTCTGTTGTTGATGCAGATCATTCACATATATAATCTATTACAGGCAGCTGCCCAGCAGGTAGATACGGCTACAGGTGCAGCTACCAGTGTCACTGTCTGTTGTTGATGCAGATCATTCACATATATAATCTATTACAGGCAGCTGCCCAGTAGGTAGATACGGCTACAGGTGCAGCTACCAGTGTCACTGTCTGTTGTTGATGCAGATCATTCACATATATAATCTGTTACAGGCAGCTGTCCAACAGGTAGATACGGCTACAGATGCAGCTACCAGTGTCACTGTCTGTTGTTGATAAAGATCATTCACATATATAATCTATTACAGGCAGCTGCCCAGCAGGTAGATACGGCTACAGGTGCAGCTACCAGTGTCACTGTCTGTTGTTGATGCAGATCATTCACATATATAATCTGTTACAGGCAGCTGCCCAGCAGGTAGATACGGCTACAGGTGCAGCTACCAGTGTCACTGTCTGTTGTTGATTGCAGATCATTTACATATATAATCTGTTAGAGGCAGCTGCCCAGTAGGTAGATACGGCTACAGGTGCAGCTACCAGTGTCACTGTCTGTTGTTGATGCAGATCATTCACATATATAATCTATTACAGGCAGCTGCCCAGCAGGTAGATACGGCTACAGGTGCAGCTGCCAGTGTCACTGTCTGTTGTTGATGCAGATCATTTTACATATTAAATCTGTTACAGGCAAGCTGCCTGAGCAGGTAGATACGGCTACAGGTGCAGCTACCAGTGTCACTGTCTGTTGTTGATTGCAGATCATTCACATATATTATCTATTACAGGCAATTGTTCAAGAGGTAGATACGGCTACAGGCGCAGCTGCCAGTGTCACTGTCTGTTGTTGATGCAGATCAGTCACATATATAATCTATTACAAGCAGCTGCCCAGCAGGTATATACGGCAACAGGTGCAGCTGCCAGTGTCACTGTCTGTTGTTGATGCAGATCATTCACATATATAATCTATTACAGGCAGCTGCTCAAAACGTAGATACAGCTAAAAGTGCAGCTACCAGTGTCACTGTCTGTTGTTGATATAGATCATTTACATATATAATCTATTACAGGCAGCTGCCCAGCAGGTAGATACGGCTACAGGTGCAGCTACCAGTGTCACTGTCTGTTGTTGATGCAGATCATTTACATATATAATCTAATACAGGCAGCTGCCTGAGCAGGTAGATACGGCTACAGGTGCAGCTACCAGTGTCACTGTCTGTTGTTGATACAGATCATTTACATATATAATCTATTACAGGCAACTGCCAGCATGTAGATACGGCTACAGGTGCAGCTACCAGTGTCACTGTCTGTTATTGATACAGATCATTCACATATATAATCTATTACAGGCAGCTGCCCAGCAGGTAGATACGGCTACAGGTACAGCTGCCAGTGTCACTGTCTGTTGTTGATGCAGATCATTTACATATATAATCTATTACAGGCAGCTGCCCAGCAGGTAGATACGGCTACAGGTGCAGCTACCAGTGTCACTGTCTGTTGTTGATTGCAGATCATTTACATATATAATCTAATACAGGCAGCTGCCCAGTAGGTAGATACGGCTACAGGTGCAGCTACCAGTGTCACTGTCTGTTGTTGATGCAGATCATTCACATATATAATCCAAAACAGGCAGCTGTCCAGCAGGTGGACACGGCTACAGGTGCAGCTACCAGTGTCACTGTATGTTGTTGATAAAGATCATTTACATATATAATCTATTACAGGCAGCAGCCCAGCAGGTAGATACGGCTACAGGTGCAGCTGCCAGTGTCACTGTCTGTTGTTGATACAGATCATTTACATATATAATCTATTACAGGCAACTGCCTAGCTTGTAGATACGGCTACAGGTGCAGCTACCAGTGTCACTGTCTGTTGTTGATTGCAGATCATTTACATATATAATCTAATACAGGCAGCTGGCCAGCAGGTAGATACGGCTACAGGTGCAGCTACCAGTGTCACTGTCTGTTGTTGATGCAGATCATTCACATATATAATCTAATACAGTCAGCTGCCTAGCAGGTAGATACGGCTACAGGTGCAGCTACCAGTGTCACTGTCTGTTGTTGATGTAGATCATTGACATATATAGTCTATTACAGGCAGCTGCCCAGCAGGTAGATACGGCTACAGGTGCAGCTACCAGTGTCACTGTCCACAGGTCAATTGTAACCCTACTTCCGGTTGTTATCCTATAAGTTGTTCCAGGGGATGGTCCGGGCCGACTTGTCAGAAACGTGAGCGTCAGATATTCTTTGATTCACTGAAGTTATCACAATAGTTTGTCTGTCAACCCAGTTTTTGTGAAATATCTTCCCAATAACAGCAACTGACCACATGCCATTAACGTATATCTTAATGATCCCCTTTGATGTCATAAGAAAAAAATAGTTTCAACTTTGTTGGTCACTTGGGGAAAAAGTTCCTTAAATAACTATCATAAAAATTTCTGTTTGTGTGGGTTTATATCTTTGCTCAACATGGGGAAATTATCCTGAGGTAACAAGTCACTTGTAATTATGACCCGGGGTCATGTACATGAGTTGCGCGTTGACCTAACCCATAAGCTGTTACGTTTACTGCGACTACACTCCGTCTCTTGACACCAAAATAAACAGAAATTTTAATGATAGCCTCTTAAGAAACTTCTTCCCCAAGTGACCAACAAAGTTAAAACTATTTTTCTTTTTACGTCAAATTGGAACATTCAGATATACGTTAATGGCATGTGGTCAGTTGCTGTTATTTGGAAGATATTTCACAAAAAGGATGTCCCAAAATTTTGGTTGACAGACTATACATGCTCTAACACCGCACACTGCGCATGAACTATCCATGAGTGCATATTCGTCAAGAGTTTGTGTACATTTTGATGAACGGTGACCAAGACAAATTTTAACACTATCCTCGTTTTGACTCATTATCCATATATAAATTACTGTCAATGACCTTTTGGCTCGTCTGAAAGCTGAAAGCTGAATGCCTGCATGATATACTCAGTATGCTACATAGAAATCACCCTTTTCATATGTCCCAGAAAACATTGCTCTAAACAAGACTACATCAGCCAGTGGTGTTTTCTGGGCATCATCAAACGCCGTAGATGGAGACAAAGGAGGAGTCAATAATGCCGGCAGTTGTTTTCATTCTGCTAATGATAACAACAGTATAACATCTGCCTGGTGGAGGGTGGATCTGGGACAGAAAACCCTGGTGCATGATGTCATCATTTATTTCAGAACTGACGGTGAGTAAAGTAATTTGACCAATATTTCTTTTAATGTAGTGATAAACTCAAGGATAAAAGGAACACCACCATGTATTTGACAACTCGCAAACAACACAAAATAAGTGCCTTAATATCGAGTGTGATCACTTCGAGCGTTGAAGCTCGCCCTAACACAACGTCATCTGACAGTTTGATCAGGGAGGCGACGCCGATTCCTCCTGTAGGGCCAGTGCGAACGGAGGCTGGTGAATGTTGTCGAATCCTACTTCCAGGATGATACCAGAGATGCCCTATCTATTACATGCCAATAGCGCATGCTGGCCATATCAGGACGTTTACAAAGTTCCTGGTGAGAACAGCTGTATCAGGGGGTGGAATTATCCCGTTAATGTTCCGTCGGGTGAATAGCAGTACAATAGGTCGCAAAGCATCATCAACATAACCGATAAGCTGTGAGACTCCCATTGATAATAACCTAAACGATCTTCTTGAGCAGTCTGTTCTTCAGGAGAAGCACCCAGAAATGACGCTCTTTTTGAAGAAGTTGTGACCCTTGGTCTTGCGGTCCTTGGCCTTTCTGCTGTTCGGTCAGTTAGTCGGTGTGATGTGACCAGTCTGGCGATAGTGCATTTTGCACATCCCATTATTCGTGCAACATTGTCCTGACCATCTACCACATTGCAGTTACTTCTCTTCTCTCTGAACTGAGTCTGGGCATGTTCGTTGTGTCAAACGGGTGGCAGTGAAATAGTACAGCGATGCACGTGTTTCATGCTCGATTCTCATAATGGTAGTTTTCTGCACTCGTTGTAAGTTTCAGTAAATAAATTAAGTTTATTCGATAAAATCGTGCAACCCGTGATTTTTTTTCGTTATGTTTGTGGCGCCCGTGACATGTATTACTCGCTAATATACGGGTTTATGACCATATGGTGGTGAATGAATACATAATTACTTCTGGTGGCATTTCTTTTGCAGTTTGTGTTGGGTATAAGATATTGCATCTATGTGGGGATTCGAACCCAAATATATTACACATTAGATAACTGCATGTCCTTACATGATTTTGAACCATAATGCTTTCATTGCGCGTTATATGACTTGGAAGAATTGAATGAATGAGTCGAACAGGATACGTTTCACTAACATCACGGCCTGTCAGGGTGATGTGGCGGAAAAGCCAGAAGTGATGCAGGTGTCAGTGTTTCGCGCGCATAAATCCACGACGACCAATTCTTTCCTTCGAATGTGGGTCACTGGAGACAAATATTTAAATTTGCCACCTTCTGATGAAAGGTGAAGAGTGTACTTTGTTTTACATACTGCATTATTTGATCCATCACTGTGACGTAAAATATTACGTTGTATACATTCAGATTAGTGCATTTTCACATGTAACAGTTAAAGTTCGTCGGAATGGTGTCCAGATCTACATAGCTGACACTGTCGCCTCCCCAACTGATGGAGTCAACTGCTACAACGTGACAGGGAACAGTGACGGGACAGACATACCCGATGTTCTGAATGTCACGTGTTCTGGTGAAGGTCGCTATCTGGTCCTGTACACAACAACTGTCAACAACGAAAAGAACGTACCTGTCATGGATTTCTGTGAGGTGGAGGTTAACGGTACGAAGACGTGTTTCATGTGTATTTTCTGTACCAAACTGACGTAGTGGGTTTGATATGAGTAATTTCTAGATCCCAAGTGAAATTATATTTCCTGGAGAAATCTTACACGTGGAAACGAGTTGGATTTGGTATAGGGATGGGTGAATTTCTTGGTAATGGGTACTCATTACCAGGCGACGCCCGGGTGGCTTGTTGTGGCGCAATTATCCCGCTATAGATCCGTCTCCCTTCGCTGCCAGTCTACGTTCCTTGAGGTTAGGTTTAGGGTGAGGCTATGGCTCCTTAGGGAGCTGGCACATCATTAGTGGCAAACAACCTTACGACTCTTGAAGAGGTAGGATTCACATGACTTTTGCAAATAAGCGGGGTCCTGGGGGATATGTCATCTTTTGATGACTCGTTACCATCCGCCATAAAATAGAAACAATATGTAGGACCATGTTTCATACGACCGTCACTAGTACTTCATTTCCAGACATGGTTAGACACGACAAAGACCTTTGATATAAAATGTCATACGCTGGAGATGGGAGTACCGTAATTGCGATGCTAGTACCGATCTCTAATAGAAACAAATCTCTAATAGACGGAAGTATGGGGACCGTGATACTCTTGAAATCCGTTTCACCCACCACTGACATGGTCGTGTCCCCATTGCGTAGATCGATGCACATGTTGCGGCGTAAAACTTAACTCACTCACTGATGTTCTCAAATTTCTTAATATATTCAGGTGCCTCCTACGTTTTCTTGTATTTGAAATATAAAGATAACAGCAATGAACGACATATATATTTTTGCTTTGACTCTTTAAAACGATGCCAATAACGTATGTCATATGCTATCTTGCCGTTTAAGTCTGTGGTCCTGGTACCTTCGGCGCTGACTGTGACAACTACTGCCACTGTGACGGTGATGTGTGCAACTACATAACAGGCGTCTGCCCCAGTGGAGTCTGTCTACCAGGCTGGCACCAAGAAACATGTCACACAGGTGAGAGGATGATTAAGCATAGGTTAGTAGCTTCAGCTCAAACATTATGACTTTCTTAACAACAAGAGTGGAGATTTTACCAACATGTTCAGGCTTTTATCGATTAAAGGTATATGGCCCCCACACACATACATACGCGCACATGCACACACACTCTTCAATATTATACTTTACGGATGCTTGCACAAACATTCATCAACATTCAAATCGTGCAGATAATTAAAAAAGATACATCAATGTTCGGGAGATAAGAACATGGGATGGAGTGGTCCGTGACAATAATGATAGCAGCAATTTCTTCAAGACATCACAGTGCAAACATGATCAAATTCCATCCATCCTGCAGCTACTATTACATTTCATTTGAATCCCCCGATGTCATAAACTACATGTCTGATGAGTATATTTAAGTGGAGTTCACGTACAGACATTTGAATAACCCGATGTCATGAACTACATGTCTGATGAGTATATTTAAGTGGAGTTCACGTACAGACATTTGAATCCCCCGATGTCATGAACTACATGTCTGATGAGTATATTTAAGTGGAGTTCACGTACAGACATTTGAATGCCCCGATGTCATAAACTACATGTCTGATGAGTATATTTAAGTGGAGTTCACGTACAGACATTTGAATCCCCCGATGTCATGAACTATATGTCTGATGAGTATATTTAAGTGGAGTTCACGTACAGACATTTGAATCCCCCGATGTCATGAACTACATGTTTGATGAGTATATTTAAGTGGAGTTCACGTACAGACATTTGAATCCCCCGATGTCATGAACTACATGTCTGATGAGTATATTTAAGTGGAGTTCACGTACAGACATTTGAATCCCCCGATGTCATAAACTACATGTCTGATGAGTATATTTAAGTGGAGTTCACGTACAGACATTTGAATCCCCCGATGTCATGAACTACATGTCTGATGAGTATATTTAAGTGGAGTTCACGTACAGACATTTGAATCCCCCGATGTCATAAACTACATGTCTGATGAGTATATTTAAGTGGAGTTCACGTACAGACAATTGAATCCCCTGATGTCATGAACTACATGTCTGATGAGTATATTTAAGTGGAGTTCACGTACAGACATTTGAATCCCCCGATGTCATGAACTACATGTCTGATGAGTATATGCAAGTGGAGTTCACGTACAGACATTTGAATCCCCCGATGTCATAAACTACATGTCTGATGAGTATATTTAAGTGGAGTTCACGTACAGACATTTGAATCCCCCGATGTCATGATCTACATGTCTGATGAGTATATTTAAGTGGAGTTCACGTACAGACATTTGAATAAGATGCACGAATGCTCGGGAGAGTACATGTGTTCGATGACGTTCATGGTTCATGTTTCAGCCTGTGGTCCTGGTACTTTCGACACCAACTGTAACAACTCCTGCCACTGTGACGGGGAGACGTGTGACCGCGTGACTGGGGTATGTTCAAGTGGAGTGTGTGTACCTGGTTGGCAGACAGAAACGTGTGGCACAGGTAGGTTGTATATAGTGCTTACATCCTTTACTGTAAGTAAGTAACAGGCTGTGTGAAGTAACACATATTAGACTATCAAGGATGGTCGCTAAGTGCCCAGAACGGAAGATCGGTGGTTCAATACCCTGCTTTCGTCACTGGTCAAGGTTTCAATTTGTAATCTGCCTGGCGCTGGATATCAAGGGGAATGCCAGCCATACCAAGTCGTCAAAGAACTGTTCAGCTTCTGATGGCATGTCGTAGTGCTGTCGCCGCCGTTGGATCTGTTCCGGAGGTGTTTGTGCCGGATGTAACGGTCTTCGGTCGGTGTCGTGACTCCTGGTGTTCCCGATCTTGGGCGGTCTTTGTCTGGCCTGTTTGCTGGTAGCCGTATATCAATTTGCTGATGGTGACCTGGTTGCAGTTGAAGGTTCCTGCCAGCTGACGTTGTGAAGCCCCAATATTGGCCATGTCTTGATGTACTTGGCGTAAGTCTTGACATGTTCGTGGTGGTTGTTTGGTTACTGCATGCTTGCTCTGTCCAACGTCGGTATTTATGCCACCATCATGTACGTGCACGTTCCACAATTACGTTTTTGCACGTTTCGAAAAATGCACGATTCGTACGAAGTTTTCGGACAGCTGCCTTGTTATCGGGACTATGTTTTAGCAAATGTTTTCTCTTTGGGTTCAAACCTGTACCAGCCTTTGTTCTTTTTATACAATTATTAACAAATTGATAACTTTCTTTTACCCCAATGCGTATGTGGTTCAGTCACGTTACATCATTCAAACAACTGCATACATATATTTTTGAAAACATTTCTTAAACATAAACATCATTTTAGAATCATGAGAACCTTGGAGAGTGCATGTGTTAGATGATATTCATGGTTGATGTTTCAGCCTGTGATGCTGGTTCTTTCGGCACCAACTGTAACAACACTTGTCACTGTGACGGAGAGACGTGTAACCACACGACTGGCGTCTGTCCAAGCGGAGTATGTCTACCTGGTTGGCAGACAGAAACGTGTGACACAGGCAGGTTATAAATAAAATATATGTCTTTTACGAAACTTCTACCAGCACCCATGTGACAGTGACGAGCTTCTGTTGCTTTAAGTCAGGATGGAGTGGAGCAAATTGTTTACAGGGAAATCGAATCTAATGATAAAATATATGAACACGATAAATGGAAGATATGTTACAGATATATTGACGACACGCATTTAAGCACTTACAAAAAAGGAATAGGCCAAAGAATTGCACTCAAATAATAAATAAATGTAACACTGTCTCCTTTATGTCAAACGATATTAATCATTTTGCTTGGCTAGCTGATAATAGCAGCTATGGATCTGACTGATCAAAGACAGGCAAGGGCGACAACTCTAGTTGTGATCATGTGACCGGGATGTGTAGGCTGTAGGACAGGGTGGGATGAGACAGAGCGTATACAGGGGGAGGATCACTGATCGGTATAAGTGTTTTGGTGTGTGAATAGGTTGTGTCTTGTTGATTATTATACACGGAGTACTCGGAAACACAACGTCCCTTTGTATGGCATATGTACCAAGTGCACAACAGACATATCTCACAAAATAACAACAAATTATCAATATCCGTACTGTTATCCTTCATTCCGATACGGCTTGGATTCCAACACCAAACAATATCCTTATCGGCCACTGATAAGACAAGGTGACGATCTAAGATCTGAGTCAAATGTGGATGTTCATTTTTCGACCTTTAACCGCTTGCAAGCAGGCCAAACTTTCAGAATAAATGATACATAATCTGTTACTAAAATAATTGAAATGTTCTAAGGCTAACAAAATTGCCCATGTGCTTCCGCTGTAAAACTGACACTTCTATTTGTTAGTCATGCAGCAGGTGATAACTTCGAGCTATGGGTGTATATACATGTATGATTGGGGTAAATACTGGATACCTGATACTGAAAAGAATGTGAACCAGCCATTCTCAGCTTCTTGATATCGAGATTGACACCAGGCTCTATACACTGCCATTAAATTTATAATTTAACATCATTAACATCATTGATATATTATATCATTCGAATACAAAGAGGTGAAATTGTAATTGGATTGTTGAGGTATAGGTCCAGATACTGGGGTCTAAAAACATTTTGGAAGCAGGAGAATCAGATGAAAGAACTTATTTTTAAACATTAAGGAAATAATGATGCTTGGCAATAATGATTCGAGCTTTATATGCAACACTATTTAATTTAATTCTAGCATAGTTTTTGTTCAGTGTGCGATGTTGAAGCAGAAACTCCAAGGGCGACAACTCAAGGTGTGACCACATGACAGAAGAGTGTAGATATTATGAGGCATTTCTATATCTGTGTTGCAAATAATAGCAATGTACACAGTAATATTACAGTAGCTTTGCGAAGGCAGTTTGGAAAAGATGAGTTATTAAATGTTGTTTTGAATGCGGACTCTGATGATAGTGATCTCAATAGTCCAGTAACAATGTGACAATACGTCGAACGAATTGGTACATAGATAATTCGAGTGTTTTCAGCATGTTTAAGTTATAACTAATGAGTACTAAAAAGTCATCTCTTGAAACATGATGCTAAGTTCTATTTTGGGGGGTAAAATTGGAAAAAAATAAAATGTTGAGTAAGTAATTTTTTAAATCTAGTATTAAGACGTAAATTTACCTTTTAACGGATATTTTCAAAGGTAACACAAGGTACTACAAATAAATTGGTTAAAACAATCAAATAATGTTATGCGAAGTTCTATTTTGGGGTAAACAATGTATTTATGTATATTGTTTACATAACTATTTTAAATTATATAAACAGAAAACCATTTCTGTACCAATTTTTCTTAGGTTCAGTGCTTTTTCCCACTAATTTGACTGGACTACAAGGAAACTGGCATTTGATTGCAAAGAGTTGGAGCTGCTGCTGCAAAAGGTCTTTGTCCCATGTTAGTTCTTGTGCTTGGTTGTGTCAGATTGCGATTGTCCATGGATCGAAGTGGGCGTGCTCGAACATGTTGGATATCAAGGTTTCTGAGGTAATCAGGTGTGGCTGAGTTGTAGATGCAGTTGTGTCCCAGAAGAAGTATCTTGTATTGGATCCTATACTGAACTGAAAGCCAATGGAGGGAATACACAATGGGCGTGATATGCTTAGTTCTGTGAGTTCTGGAAACGACACGAGCAGCTTGGTTTTGGATTTATTGCAGTTTGGAAAGAAATGATCCTTAGATATTGTAGAAAAGGGAGTTGCAATAGTCGAGTCGAGATGTCACAAGTGTTTGAATGAGAATCTTGGTTGTCTGGGTATCTGACAGGTAACGGATTTTACTGATGTTATGGATATGGTAGTAGCAGGATTTGTCTGTCATGGCAGACTGAAAAATCACACCAAGGTTTGTAGCTGAGGTAGATGCTTTAACTTCGTCATTACCAATTATGAGAGAAAGATCAGGTTGTAGTTGTTGCTTAGACCCTAAAATAAGAAATTCTGTCTTGTTGTCATTACCTTTAAGGTAATGTACTCTCATCCATGTTCTGATTACTAACATGCACAATTCAAGTTTCTGAATGCTACAAGTTGCTTTCGGGGGTTTGATGGATACATAGCTCTAGTTCCCATCTGGATAATGTGGAACTTAAATCCACGGTTCCTGACAATGACAATGTAGAGGCTGAAAAGCATGGGTCCAAGAACCGAACCTTGAGGAACTCATAAACCATTTGTCTGGATGTTGAGGACACATCACCGATCTTGACAGACTGGGCACCGTTGCAGCGTATGAGCGTATCCACCCCAGCGCTGTTTATGTGATGGCAAGTCTTGCCTGCAGCCGATACAGGGGGACACTGTGGTCAACAGTGTCAAATCCTGCAGACAGATCAAGAACCAAAAGTGGAATGTTCTGCTGGTCCATTGCTGACATCATATCGTTGTGAGCACACACACGTGCGGTTTCAGTACTGTGCTTACATTTACAGGCAGATTGGAATGTTTCTGAGAGCTGGTTCCTTGGAGATGGTCGAGCAGCCTGCTTTGCACAATTAAATTATATATCACCTATTTCAGCTATTTTAACTGCTTAAAAATATGCATCACCTCTTTGTTCATATCAAGATGGATATTGAACTAAAATGATTTGGTAAGAGAAAATACGCAATAGGAAAACATGGGAGCCGGTATGCATACAAACACACGTGTGTAAAATTCAATCTTTCTTCACAAACAACTTCAACACATGCACCACAGTTCTGTTAACTATATACTTTATAATGTCAAAATGACGACATATACTTTTCCGAGTTTTAGACGATCATAATCTGACATTCAAGAGATATAATTGCTTGGGTTTAATTGGGTAAACATGCGCACATTCTGATTGGTGTGATGTTTTTAGCTCCTAACATTTATCGAGTCTCCTTGAAGGGTCGAGTGCCATTTTGTTCGTTATAGAGTGTAATGCTGGCAGCTATGGAGCAAACTGTGCCGAGACGTGTTCAAGTAGAAACTGCAAGGGCGACAATTCTAGCTGTGACCTCATGGCTGGAGAGTGTGCTGAGGGTTGTAAGACGGGATGGTATGGAACAGACTGTACACAGGGTAAGGCACATTGATCTAAGATATTGATCATATATGTCAAAGCATGTACTTTGCGGACTGACCGACAAGTAGTTCTGAATACATCAGCCATTTACTACAATCCTTAAATGCAACGACTTTGTAGAAAGTTGAAAGAAAATCTTTGATTTCGACTGTTCTGAACAAATACCGCATGGATATGACAAAATAAACTTTTACAGCCTTTCAAACCAACGAACACCAACGTCAATATATAAATATTCTGATCTGGGCATCACAAAGACACCAACAAAGCCATTTTCACACTAAAACAAAGGCCGCATGTTGATGAATTTGAAACAATGGAGTTGATTACTTGAAACTAAAGTAACACCGTTACACAAAAATCTGTTTCCAATACTTTGTACCCACACTTTCCGAGTCAAGCACCTTATCGCCAGCACACAAAGTCTGCCATGTAACCAACCCTCAAAAATGGAATCCCAGGCGGGTCTCAACCAATCAAAAGTGTAAATATAACATTTGACCCCTCTCTACATGACATTATGTATTCATATTTTCGCCCAAGATTTGCTGCATTCGAGCGATTTTTCGAAATACCTTAACTTTATTAACTATACGTCTGAAGCCTTAATGCTGAAAGACAATGAATAACTATGACGATTTAAATAATCGTGTCAACTTCTCCTTTGCATGAATAGCACTCACCAATACACAGAGACATTGCATATACACATAAAAAAACAGCTGAACATGACATCAACCTTACTTACTTCAGTAGTGTACAAGTATTTGCTACACAAGTCTTATAACTCTCTCAAACATTCATCACATTTAAATCATGGAGATAATTAAAGAAGATGCACCGAAGTTCGAGAGATATGAACTAGGAATGGAGTGGTTTTTGACATTAAGATACAAGTAGTACAAGTAACAGGACGTGATAGTGTGGTCAATATCAAACTTCATCAATCCAGCAGCTCATAATCATTTGAGTCACCCGATGTCATGAAATATGGATGGCGAAGTAAAAGTACATAAATAATGAAATTCATGTTTGATGCTTCAGCCTGTGATCCTGGTACTTTCGGCACCAATTGCAGCAACTCCTGCTACTGTGACGGGGAGACGTGTGACCACGTGACCGGCGTCTGTCCAAGTAGAGTGTGTCTACCTGGTTGGCAGACAGAAAGGTGTAACACAGGTAGGTTGTAGTTATGTTATGTTCTCATCTTAAAGCCTGAATACGCGGATGATTATTTACGGTGCATAGTCATAAAGGTGATATGGCTGTGTTGTTTCACCCTATGACTCGCGCTTACCGTTAAACTGATGATTTCAGTTTGCAAGTCCAGCAGCTATGGCACCAACTGCTCCCGGTCGTGTTCACAAAGAAACTGCAAGGGTGAAACCTCTGTCTGTAACCACGTGACCGGGGCGTGTCTGGGTGGCTGTCAGTCAGGATGGAGTGGAGCAGATTGTGTACAGAGTAAGCAAATAGTGAACGCTCAATAGTCAACGTCATATAAAAAACCCTTCATATACAACACTTATAGGACTTACTCATGACATTGACAGAAATGTACAATCGATTCTTTCTTATGGATGAGTTTTTTGTCGCTTCTTTATACAAGCTAAATTATAATTAGAAACATGATAAAAGCAATATATCTCTATGTCGATTTATATATGTCTATATATATATAAACTCTAAAATGTGTATTCCTCTTACATCAATCAATGTTCCTAAAAGCAGTTACGTCAGCATGTATTACTGTTTTTCTAATAAAGAAAGACCTTTTTATGGTGAAACACATTTATAGTTCCGGAGTTTAGAATAACGACACCTGTTTCCAGTGATTTCGTATTGAATGTATAAGCAGGGAACCAAACTTCCTGTTAGTGTTCCAACAGACTGCATGATCGCCGTATTTTGAATTACTTCAGAAATGAGGCATTTCATCATTTAAATATGGACGCAACTGTAAGTCGTTACTCAACACGGGCTTCCATTGTACCATTGTGACATATGAATATACCATACATACATCTGTTTCCACTTAATGTGAATGTCATGCATTGCTTGTTTTTTTTTATGTGAACCTGTTTGTTTTCAGCCAATAATGTTGAAACAGCAGTCCTTATCGGAAGCACCGTAGGTTCTGTTGTTGCTGCCACCGCAGTAGCGGTCCTCGTTGTTGTGGTCTTCCTGAGGTATTGAACACCGAAGTCACTTTTTGTTCAGAATACGCGATCATATATACTTCCCATCAAAAGTTTAGACTCACTAGTGTAAATATAGCCACTTACTTCAGGCAACTGTTCTTAATTAAATTTTGCAAAATATTCCATACTGTTTACACATGAACTGATGTATTGTAAAACAAATTCGTAACGTTGAAAAGATTGTTGTCATGAGTTCAATAAATGTCAAAAATCAGGGGGAAATGGTGACAGTACTAAATATTTCCATTGCTATTTGTGAACATACCACAATGAAGAAGATCAAAATCCTCTTCTTCAGAAGGCAGAGGAGTCAACCGACGCAGTCTGGTGATTGCACAGACATGTTAGAAATAGACAAAGGTTCGTATCAGGAATGTGATTATGACGCTAAAGAATTTATCTGAGAAATCCAATCTACAAAAGAAAAGAACTACCATGATTTTTTAAATTCTTGTTCAATGTAAATGGTATGCCATTACTTATTATGCACTTAGTGGAGATGGCGCTAGAGGAAGGAGCTGACAACTCTGTGCAGGTTGTCGAGGACGAAGCAGGGGAGGACAACAACGACACGTACTACAACATTGGGATGGATCCTGCTGTGACGGTGGTGGCTGTACATCAGCTGGGGGAACTGATCAAGGAGCTGCAGGCGTCAGTCGGAGGATTCCAGGCAGAGTTTCAGGTCAGTTGGATGAAAGTTGAGTGAGTGAGTGAGTGAGTGAGTTTATCACGGCGGGGGACACCAGATGGTGAATGGTTAGTCACGTCTTCATAAACATATATTGCATTTAAAATTACTTAATTCTGATTATCATTTGTATGCAGATATGGCAAATACAAGTGGAAGTAATGTTATTCAGTCACATTCTGAATTTTCAAGATGTCACTTTGTTTTCTCTTCTAATGTCTGAGTAATGCAGATGCGATTTATCCAGATTTGCTATTTCTCAAAGCATATTGCTTGTTCGGAAGTGATAATGCCCAGCGATTAGACATTGTATCGTTCATTATTCGCAGAGGTTGCCCACTACCTTCACTCAGCCCTACAATGTCGCCAAGCTGGAAGAAAACAAGGGCAAGAACAAATACATAAGCTATTATCCATGTGAGTGTTTCAGCGCTGTTTTGTGTTGTTGAAACTCAGCGTATGGAATTGGAATTGATAAAATAACGTTGTGTGCTCATAAGCAGGAAAACCCGTTCCATAGTCAGAGTAAAATCTCCTGAAAGCCCATTGTACGATATTAAAAACATGTATCAGCCAATGGCAAAGTTGAAGTTACAATTTGTAAAAGGTCATTATCAAGTGTATTTTAATCACTAGCAAAGAGGGACTGTATCATCTCTTCAGGAAAAGATAAGCGCATTCTGTTCAACTGGCGGCACTTATCACAAACACATGCAAAAGCTTGTCAATCATTCACCAGAAAAGCACGGGAACATATGGCTCAAATCAAACTAGAAATTGTATCGGAAAGTAATTTTTCAATGGGGGATTTTGAAATCTCCAAATGTCTACCATAACGAAAGCTTTATTGTTAACTTGAATATTGTAATCTTGATCAAACAACTTTTGTGCAAGACCCACGTTAAAAATGTTAGTAGACAGAGCATGCTTGAATGTTCCTCAAACGTGGTGAAATGACAAGACCAATGGCTGGAATATTGCCCGAATTCAAGGGTAGACTGTTGGAAAGTCATTCATCACAAACGTATGTGGAGAGTGTTTTGAATGCGCATATTTATATAGAACATGAAAAACACATGAGGCAGACTTACTGGCTTCCTGCATTTCTAGTTGAGATGGGTAAATCAGTGCACGGGAATTGGCTATTTGACATGTACCTGAAACCTTAGTTTCAACTTCTTGGACAAATTCTCTTGCTTTGACTTTGCCAAGCTGATTCATGAGAACATGGACACACGGTTGTCGTAGTAGCGATGGCTCAGTGGGTTAGATGAGTTTGCTGGATTCAGTGAGACCGTGCCTGACTCGAGTGTGGGTTGAAGTCATCTCTATTGTAAAGTAAGACCAGTACATATATATTCAATTTCCAAACAACTCACTTATAATAAAGCAGCATATTATGAGCTCATTCGGTTACAATCTGAGCAAGACAAAAGTAATGATGCATAGACCCCCCTGTATTACAGACGATGCCACTCGGGTCGTATTGCAGGAGCTGCCAGACCAGCCTGGTTCCGACTACATCAACGCCAGCTACATTGATGTAAGTAAGGTTTACTTTTTTCATATATGTATTTGTGAAACTCATTTATGACTTTTGTTATTTCAGTTACTATAATGAAAATTCATCACAATGCACCTCCTTTGATTAATTGGCATATCTTTTTTATAGGGATACTCTCAAGCCAAAGTCTACATAGCCGCCCAAGGTAAATCTGCAAATATTTCTGGTCTAAATGCTGCTTTGTTAATTCGTGATTATAAGAATCAGGTAAATACAAAGGTTGGAAAAACATAATTTATAATGGTGATAAAGGCACACTGGGAAGTACCGTGATCTCATCAAATGATAAATACAGAGCTCAATCTGGAGATATGTTATTACACATGTATAAGCCATAAAGAAGCTTCACATAAAAGTCATAGTCTTACTAAACGGTGATGTACAGCTCCTACAACGAAGACCCTGACTGACTTCTGGAGGATGATCTGGGAACAGAACTGTACAAGAGTCGTCATGGTGACACACCTGGCGGAGTTGGGAAGGGTACGTCTTCATGGCATTTTTCGCTCTGTGATAGAGAGTTCTACTTATGGAAATGACTGAAACTGTCTGACATTTTGTACTATTTATGTGCAGCATCTTATTATTTACACGTACGTTTTAAGGTCAATGATATGAAACATCCATGCATGCTGTATGAGAAGATGAAAATGAATGAAGTTTGTGAAGATTCCTTGCAAAGACCACAGAGTGATCTAGTTTTTCATTATAGGTGAAGTGCGAGGCATACTGGTCAGATGCATCAGACATGCATGTAGGCGACTTCATCATCTCTGTGACCGAGTCCAGTATCCGAGCTCACTGGGCCTTCAGGGAACTACAGGTTACAGACAGAAAGGTACACCATTCATTTGATTTAACTTCAAGCGTTAAATTAATTTTTGAGGTCCCAAAACCATTGCTTTAACTTGAGAAGTTCACAATCAAATGTACAAATGCATTTGTTTGACAGGAAAACACAACAAGGTGTATTTCCCATTTCCACTTCACAACATGGCCAGATCATGGAACTCCGGAGGAGATGGCCTTGACTGAATTTCTGTGGCTGGTCAGGACATCACGTAACACACAGGATGATCCGCTACTGGTACACTGCAGGTGAGAGACTCATCAGAAAAGAAATGTTTGAAAATGGTACCTTGTAGTTCCAGGTATTCAAGTTATTAAGGGTATTAAGGATGTGTTTTCAGACAGAAAGGTTTTGAAAACCCTTTTTAGGACAGAACTATTTCACACGAACTTTATAGTTTTTTTAATAGTTTTCTTGAATTGAACAATATATACTGGGCTAATATAGTATATCACAGAAGAAAACTCTTTTGACAATGCCCTATTCCAGGGGCTCAGTTGATAGATATTTGATGAAATGGTATGCAGATTCACATGCTGTTGACCTGTTCCTAGTGCTGGGGTCGGCCGGACAGGAACCTACATCGCCCTGGACTACCTGCTGGACCAGGCTCTGGCTGAGGATGCGGTGGATGTGTTTGGTTGTGTCTCGGGGATGAGAGACCAGAGGAAGGGCATGATACAGACCAAGGTAAGGACCTGTAACCACATATAACACAATGTGTAACATTGTGATGTTTAACAGGTCTTTTCAATACTATACATGTATCTAGAATCAGTATAGATCATACCTGAAGGCACGATGTGTACATGTTCAGTTACTTAGCACTGATGGATAGAGCAATGCAACCAACAATGAGATCGACTTTCATACAAAACAATTTTACCGATGATAAATGGTCGTCTCCGTTTCACTGAGAAATGCCGACATCAGTTTCGCATATTTGTTGAAACGCAAGGCCTTAAAAGGAATAATCGTTATGAATTAAAGATGCATAAAAATCAGCGATGAGTAAACAACTGCGAAAACAAGTTGCCACTGTCATGACATATGTTATATATTCATACAACGCTCAAACATTCATATATTAGCTGGGCGGTGTGGTAGCTTGATGGTTAAAGCGTTCGCTCGTCACCCGAAGAGCCGGGTTCGATTCCCCACATTGCTTCATTGTGTGAAACCCATTTCTGGTGTCCCCTGCCCTGATATTGCTGGAATATTGCTACAATCGGCGTAAAACTAAACTCACTCACTCATATATATGCTTGCTTATTTTGAAAGGTCAAAGGAATAAAATACATAGTCATTTGAAGTTCATTTCTTCTTTCATCTCTTGAATGTCTCATTGCTTCAGGAGCAGTACACGTGTGTTTACATGGCCCTGTATGAAACACTCCAGTTTGGCAACACTGTCATCGGCGTTGAGGAATTCAGAAGAAGCCGAGACATTGAAGGGACATTCTCCACAGGACGGATGGCAATTACAGAGTTCATAGAGGTAGTTGCTTCGTCATGATACAACTTTATGATTGATTTTTGAAAAAATGTACTTATGATAATAACTGGGACTTACAAACGCCTTCGCATTTTTATATTTAAATATCAAAACATTTGTTGTAGACCGTGAACACTCAAAGGAAGGCACAGTCCCAGGGTGAGTATGAACAGGGATGATAGGATCTCATAGGATAGCTTCAGGTATCTATACACATAGTGCTTATCAAAACGTCCTTAAGTATCACTCATTTCCTTAGACGACTCATCCGACGAATTCATATCATCTACTTCTACAATGACGAAAGGCAGCTGTGTGTAACATTAATGAACTTTATCAATGAAACAGATTTAAATGTTTGTGTGCAAACAGGAGGAAGTTGGCACCGTTTGTGGGTCAAAGTCTAGTTGCCTGAGTCTAATGTAATAAAATACACTGTATATCAGTGGAAATAATAACAGAATCAGTTGCCGAAAGACTGATATAATGAAACTGTTTTTTTTAAGGAACCAGCATGAGGGGTCGTGTATGGATAAATGGACGCTCGGATATTCTAGCTGTCAGCTTACGGGTCAGCATCTTTATATGTTTAACGGGGGATCGAGAAAAAACCTGGAAACAAAATTCTGTTTCGCCAGGGATTTAGAAGTATCTGTAATTGGAAGGGAGGCTCACTAACAAAGTAGAATTAATTTTAGTTTTGTCATATCAATCAATACATTCCTAATTTCAAAATATGACAATCGATTTAGAATGGTAAAGCGAGTTTAGTATTCTGTTTATTACTCTCCAACATGAATTGATAGAAACTGCCTTCTAACAGTGTGATGTCTTTCAGCTTTCCGCGAGTCAAGCCAGGTCTAATACCATTGTGATAGAGATATAAGCATTGTGATGTCATAAATGTAAACCATTATGACGTCATACGTCTAGCAGCATTACACTAGTGTGATATTGATGTAAAAATATTACTCTGCAGTATCTTCCACGGGAGAGTAATAAATAGAAATTACATAATTATTGCCCAGGGGCGATGAGGTAGCCTTGTGGTTAAAGCTTTCGCTCGTAACGCTAATAATCCGGGTTGGATTCTATACATGGGTACAATGAGTGCAGCCCATTTCTGGAGTCCACCGCCATGCTATTTCTGGAATATTGTCAAAAACTAAACTCAATCATTCACTCACTCACTTTTATTCTGCCTTATCCTGCCTTCAGTCCCACCTGTCCATGAATGGCTACCTGTTAACAGAGGCCCCCTCCGTCACCACGGCGTCTCTGTTCTGGAAACTCACAGAGGAACAGGAATCTTCCACCGTCATTGTCCTGCCAGACTCGCATCAGGTGGGCAATTTCATGCCAGCTGTGACATTACCTTCTGCTAATACTCGAAGTGCTACGTTTCCAAACTTGAGTCTTTATGTTTCAGAGTCTGTCCAGTTTTGTTCCCACCCCAGGAGACAGCCTGGATCTGGGCCCTGTGACTGTAAGATGTTCCACAGAGGTCCCCGTCAACACTGACATCACCCTCCTGAACGTCCACAGACAGATGGAGGTAGCCTCACATTACATTACTGAACATTTTTTTTACATTTACAAAATGGACATACTGATAATGAAACTGTAGCTAGTTGCATAACTTGTGACGACAGATAATGTATCCCCATGCCTTCAGCCTACAATATAGTTCCGTTCACATTGGATTTTAGAGTGAAGATGAGGTAAAAAATACAAATGAACGCAAAATGTGTCTATCTGCACACACCAAATGTTTAACTCCTTTCTAATTTATCCAGTCTCTCAGGATGATGAGTGTACTTAATAAATACAAACACTTAATGTAGCTGGAGGTCATGACTTATAACTTCTAACTTCATCTGCTCGACAGAATGTTCCATCAACACCTGTACGTGTGTACATCTTGAACATCTTACCCGTGGGATCCCCGTCGACTTTCTTAGAGCTTCTGGAACAAATCGACCAACACACGGGAGATGTCAGTCCCAATACAGTTACCGTCATATACAGGTAAGTCAAACAGACAATCGGATATCAAACAGCATTTCTTTTAAAAGCATGGGCAACATGACAAGCCGGATGTGTATCGTTCTCCATGATGCATGTTGCCTGATAAATACATGTGATAAGAGAGAAAGTGAAATAAATACCAGTTGACTGAATATCAGACATAATTTACACAATAGATATTGAACAGTAAAATCTTCACAACAAATTCAGAGTCTCGAATAGAAAAGTCACTGAATTCACATTCAGATGAACACAATGAATCATACGCGTCGATTGTATATCTCCATGACAGTTATATTGTACGTGGAATTCCTGAACAAAAATATTTGACTGTGAGTATCTCTCACTAACGCCTTCCGGCATTCAAACATGGTGTGGATTCCTGAATTGTTCACCAACAAGGTGCAACAAGGATCAGGTGATTATTGTCTGTAGCCTAGACTATGGTGTGTTATCGAACCTCTATCGCTGCGGAACGTGCGACAAACCGATCTGACTGATCCATGATAGGTGACTTCGTTAGATGGACCATTTTGAACGTGACGTACAAATGAACCACACATTGTTGTAAAGTGGCTTCAGTTAGTTTCGGTTTATGACACCCCTCCCTCGAATTTTGCTTCACCCTGTTTGTTACAGTGATGGCGGCAGGCAGAATGCAGCCATGTTGTGCATCCTGAGGAATATTGTCCAAGGCCTGAAGTATGACAAACGAGCTGAGATCTACAACAACATGAGAGCTGTGGGCCACTGTCTGGATCAGGACATCACGGCGGTATGTCCACATGTAGTTGCAATACATCGCTTTTTGAGTCATCATACTAAATGTGAATATTTACGTGCCTTTTCTACTTGTTAAAGAGGAACATATGTTATTTGGATGCTGTGGTAGACTCTGACGATTTGATGGGGCAGACTTTTTTCGAGATCCATGTTGTCACCACTATATTATTACTATTACTTAACATGTTTCCATGTAATCATAAGTTAACAAAATGAAGATGTCTTATTTATTAAAATAATTAGTCAATGCACTGACGCGTCAATAGACATTATTGTCCTTCACTTGACTGTCTGGTCTGTTGACCGCCGCCCCTACCTTTGTAAGTACCACTTACTGCACACATGCATCTCCTCTCTGTGTTCCAGGCTGACGTTGCCCTGTGTTACGACGTGGCCGCAGCCTACCTGGAGTCCCAGAACATCTACGCCAACACATGATGACAACCCCGTGGATCGCACAAATGTTGTACCGATACATTATGACTCTTCAGAGATATCAATCTCAAGAATACAGCTTGATTGTTCCAATTTTTGAAATAATTTAATCTTTTGTTTTTTTATTTATAATGTCGTAAAATAGAATTTTATTATTATGCTCTTTATTTTAAAATAATGTTTTGTATTATATTTTCGTAATCCAACTTTATATCTAGAATGTAAATAAATTGTCAAAAATAATATTACACATTGACAGTTTTCTGGCTTGGGAAAGAATCGGTCTAATAATGCTAACTTTATATCTATTATGTAAATAAATTGTCATCAATAATATTACACATTGACTGTTTCTGGTTTGGGAAAGAATCGGGCTAATGATTCTTTGAATAAAATTGAAAGACAATTAGCGTTTTCAGGAAACTGAAATTAGAAATGGAACATGAGACATTAAATAATATTGGTAATTGTTAATTGAAAAAGAAAAAACCCAACAACATATAAGCGAAAAAAGTAAAGTGGATTGGATTGGGCTATTTGGAACTGAAACTGCGCAAGAAAAAGGATGCAAATAGAAGCTAAATAGAATTATGCTGAAATCAATTGATTCACAGAAATATCTCTTGTGGACAGTGTTGTTGCATAACGTCTATTCAGTCCATTCTGCCCTATCCATCTGTCATCCATAATTCTTATCAAAGTCAAGAAAGAACTAACTAGTGTTATATTAACAGAACATATTTGAGTTAAGCGGAATTAATGCCATGTGGATTCTCAAATGATGTGCTTGACTTGCTACAATGTACATGTCAAAATATTGATATTTCACCTTTGAACACCACCGCGTTTGAACAAGAAATTAATCAATATGTGAAATGCCTTCCCCACTGATAACATGTATGTAAAATGTGGGGTAAACATTCACGAAATGCGTAGGCATCCCCATATACACTAACTGTTTGTGCTTCCCTCCTTTTGAGACTTTTTCAATATGCATATGAAGCAGAATTTCTGTTTGGTTTGGCAAAGTCAACAGAAGGTAGTTTGGCTACGACGTTTAGCTCCAGCTTCCGATATATCCATGATCTACTATCGTTCTATGACCATCCAATAACCAAACATCTTCCACTGATGTACCCATTAGGAATCTGAAGCATTTCGAGTTTACATTGGACAACGTGTCAGTAACACTCGAGCGTGCTGCTTGTTTCAAGGCCTCGTTGAGTCTTCTTCTTGCTCAGAAGTTGTTCAGTCAACGTTACAGCTGCCAAATGCACGCAAACCTTTCGAAACGTTTATGTTGGACATGAAAAGGATATTTCCACACATTTGGAGGCATCAGGGACAAGCATGTCCGAGCATCTTCCCTATTTCCACCATTAAACGATTTAATACATATACTGGTATCCTGATTCTCCCTCTATTTTGCATGTCTGACAGAACGGGCATATCAATAACGTCGTATCATGCATTGAACACGTATATGCGCTAAGAGAATAGTTTCCAGTTGTAAACAATGCAGCTCTCCGATCAATGTACTCTACATTGGCTACTCCACCACCACTCTTAAGCAATGTTCTGTCCTGTCACATGTACTTCAGTAAGCATTTTTGTCATATGTTTCTTGAAACTGTGGGACCCGTGAAGGGCCGGGTTAGAATATTGATCTTCAGTAGCCCATGCTTGTCGTAAGAGGCGACTAACAGGATCGGGTGGTCAGGCTCGATGACTTCGTTGACATATGTGATCGGTTCCCCATTCCGCAGATCGATGCTCATGCTTTTGATCACTGTATTGTCTGGTCCAGGTTCGATTATTTACAGACCGGCGCCATATAGCTGGATTATTGCTGAGTGCGGTCTAAAACTAACTCACTCACTCACTCACTTGAAACTATGGTGCACCATTGAATAGAATTCTTGATTTCATGTTATGCGGAGGTGAGTTGTGTAATAACCTCTAACAGTGTACACTACACCTCTGTGGTCAATAAACACATCATTATTGAGCACTCACTGAGCTGTAATTACCCATGAACTGCTGTTGTTATCTCCAGACATTCCCCTTTTGAATGCATAGTATCACATAGTGTTGTGTTAACTAGCCAAACACAATACCCAACTTTCCTTACAGGAACAGTTTGTAACGTATCATATTCACCTTGCTTTTGTACTTCAGAAAACTATTTTCTATTAATTTACGAGTTCCTTTTGCTTGTGATAATATTTTGTATACCAGAATAAACATCATGCTTTATAGTGATAATATGTTGTGATATTTATGGACATACAGCATTTATTGACTGTTAAACCACTTATATGTTTTCTTTTGTTACTTTTACGCATCGACCTGCAATATAATATTTCCTTGAAACTGGTGCATTGATTGCATGGAGGTTATGGAAGCGATGTGTCCTGGTAACGTGAGCTGGGGTTTGAAGTTAACCACGCTCAGCTTTACACGAATCTGTGTCGGGGTTAGTAGGGCGAGCAGTCGTCCTATATTAAGATCAGTGGTCTGTCTATTTTTCTGTAGGTAACGTGCTTGAGATAGGTGTAATTGCCAACCTGGTGATGTCTGTTTTCCTGTAGGTCCTGAAGGTAACGTGCTTGAGATAGGTGTAATTGCCAACCTGATGATGTCTGTTTTCCTGTAGGTAACGTGCTTGAGATAGGTGTAATTGCCAACCTGATGATGTCTGTTTTCCTGTAGGTAACGTGCTTGAGATAGGTGTAATTGCCAACCTGATGATGTCTGTTTTCCTGTAGGTAACGTGCTTGAGATAGGTGTAATTGCCAACCTGATGATGTCTGTTTTCCTGTAGGTAACGTGCTTGAGATAGGTGTAATTGCCAACCTGATGATGTCTGTTTTCCTGTAGGTAACGTGCTTGAGATAGGTGTAATTGCCAACCTGATGACATGGATGCATGCACTGTGAAGTGAAAGGGGACAACGCGATGTGACGTGTACTACCGTTTGAGGTCACATTCAAGTAATATCGGGAAAGCAGTCAGCTTGAATATATGTATATTTTTAAGCCACAACACTTTATCAAAGAAAACATTAAGACACATAGCAGTATTTTCCAAACATTACAGCAGATTGTATTCGTTATGACACGTTGAAAAAAATTAATATGCATTTATTTATCGTATCCACCGGCGTGAGGGTTATATATATAAGGAGGAAAAGGTACCATTAATTGAATTTTAGTATCCTTACTATGCTTGCGAAAACTGTATGACACACTGTGAATTCATGTTGGAAGAATACACTGGATCACTTTGCTGTGTTTTAACACCTTTGCTCTTTTTGAACACATTTTCGTCATATTTTGCCAAACCGACGACCTGTTCTACACATCATTTACCTTACTGGCTATACATCCATCAAGCGCTGTCTAGAAAATTTGTGTTACGAGCGTTGCACGTGACTCCATTAGAAATAACATTCATTATGAATGTCATACTTTCAAGCAGACTGCATCAATTTATAGACGAAGTCATGTAGCCGATAGGCATGCTAAATACGTTGCATAAGACTTTCTAAAGGCTCTCTCTGAAAAGCTGTCGAAGCTGAGGGCTTGAAGAATAATTAAAATCCCGCAAAGAAAGTTAGTGAAAACAGAAAATTCGATCAGCATCTTGTTCCCTATTGCTTCAACCTGCCTACCCTGCTTTAAGAGATGCCATGCTGATCTGGAAAACCATGATTGTTGTTTGACTCAAGGAAAATATGGAAAAGGCTGTGATGAAATTAAAGCATAAGCATTTTTAGATTATTTTCCAGAATTTAGACAACCTGTTGAAAACCCATGTTTTGAGCCGTTATATTGAATTAGTTTAGACTAGTGATATTTGTTTCATTTATAACTATCTGATCTTTTGGAAACGTTCCACAGCAAAGGACCTGTGTTAATACCAGGTCCTAAAGATCACCATTATATTATTATGTGTATAGAAAGAAACAAACCAGTAACCCTAATTCTATTTTCATCATAGCGAGTCCTATGACTTTTACAATATTACTACCCTTTGAGTCAGACGTCCAGATCTCAACACAGCTCAGCGCTTATAAGCAAACGGTACTTGTATCAGAACCATAGCTATACAAACAGTGTAGAAAAGCAAACATGCCCTCATGATAAATCCATCAAAATACCCATGTTACGAATTCAGCATGAGTCATCAGATCACGTGGTGCTTGCTTCAGCCATTGACACAGACTCACAGACACAGATTGTGTGTCAGACAGTTCGGCATCGTACATTTGGTGGCTGAGAGCAAATGGCGGGACCAAAAACATTACTCATGGACCCATGCACAAGTCAGACAGGAAATAATTACAAATAACGTTTAAAAAGGTGAACAAAATAGCCAACTAGCTGTGATAGGTATGGGTGTAAATGAACGTCAATGACCTCCACTTTGTTCAAAAACTTCATATAAATATACTCATGGAAACGAATAAGGGATCACATGAAAGTACAAGTGTTCCCTTATTGTTTTCCAGGTTTCTTCACAAGGTATGTATTGCACAGTGGGTGAAATTCTGGAAATAAATTAAGGAAAATGTGTACTTTCATGTGTTATCTTTCCGTTCCAAGAGTATATATAAATGTTATTGTCACCCATAGATACTCCTTACAAAAGTAACTGTTACTCAAATGTTACTCACTGCTTCAAATGATAATATTTGTATGATGATAATGAACGAAATGGGGAAGACAATTCTACTGGTAATGAAAAACAACTATCTTGAAAGACGATGGGGTAGGGTTGCAACGGTAAAAGAAGACGGTTATGGATCAATCGTGCGTCAAACTAGGACAGTCATACCGCCATTGAGGCCTACTGCTACTATGAGTCTCGCAATGACTATTCGAGGGTGTCCTGTCAGTCATCTTGCATCATCTGGCCAATACATGTTCAGTGGGGCAAAGGTCTGTCTTCTTTGCTGGCCGTGGTATTCTATGGATTTGTGATTCTGGAGATGACCACTGACGATTCGTGCACGGCGAGCAGGGCTTCT